GTATTTCTTCAAGTGAAAAGGTATGCAGATGATTATGTGAAGAAACAAAAGTTCTATATATTATGGATGAACAAGAAATGAATTCATATGATTTTTCATAGCAATTTTCTTGAACTTTGATCACCTATTTATAGACTTTGACAAGTCCTCACGAGGTGGTGTCAAAATTGGATTGAAAGGCCATCAATTTTAAAAAAAAAACGATCAAAAAAGCCCATAATGGTCAAACTTTATCACCATGCGGTCGCATGGTTATAACCTTGGTCACCCACAAATTTTCTGAATAGCCTCATGCGACCACATGCCCAAAAGACCTATGCAGTCGCATAGGCCATTTTTATGGCACTTCAATTTTTTTTTTCTTTTTCATTTCTTCTCCAATTTCATTCACCCATCCACAAGATTTTGAAAACAATTAACAAAATTCTAGTACCTTCGTTGTGAAGAAAACGACATAGGGATGAGTCCCTTTCACGCAAATGAGGTGACCAGAGGACTCTATAAGATAGATGCTTGTTTAGTGAGCCACCTAGCTTGAAAAATGACATCTGAAGGGCCAATATTTGAATGCATGCTTTGAGATGTTATAAACACATTAGTAGAAAATTTTTGGAAAATTGGCTTGATATCTGTACATAATCTTTTGACTTTCATATGTATCAGTATAATTTAGCCTATTTTTTGCCCTCATTTTTTTTTTTTCAAAAACTCATTTTCAGCCATATACTTTACCATAAAATAATTTTACATGGAAACGCAAAATTTTTCCCTTTTTTCTAACTACACATCCTCCAACCAAAACACCATTTCAAAATGCATTTTTCCTCCAAAATGGGCCAAATAGATGCTTAATCCATAAAATGGGAACCAGCTATCTCCACCCGAACCCTAGTAAATGATTGACTTGAATCATCAACATCTGCTTTGTAGGTTTGAGTGCCGTTGACAAAAGGACTTCACTCGTTCCAGCCTTTCTTAAAGTGATGATGGCTCAATAGCAAAAGTGATTCAGAGCCAATTTTTGAGGCCGACAGCAAGTCCTGCAAAATGTTATTCTAGTTTATGCGAGAATAGAAATCATGTATGTGCATGAGTTTTTATTCAATTGATGTCCACCCGTAATACCACAGAATCATGTTCACTTAATGTTGACAGTAATAGTTGAACATTTCACCAAGATTATGCTTTTCCGGTGCTTTCAAGCATGCATTTTAATTTGTTTTTATTACAAATATTGAGAACATATATGATTGTTATCATTGAAATGCCTGGTGCACCCAATTCTTAATTTAGATCGCCTATTCCCCAAGAGTGTAATACATTGATGACATGTCGAATAGAGTGGATTCAACAATATTGGACAGTATGAAGAAAATATGCTAAAATTTTGTATATTTTACGGTCTAGTTGTGTCGAATACTGTGCACCAAACATATCTAGAAAAATTTCGTTAGTGAAGATATCAAGCTTCAGTTTTCTATTACCCGGAAGAATTATGACAGTGTCCTCTTTGGCCAGCTTGAAACAGAAGTCAATGTCATCGCTAATATCTTTCAGCAGGGATAGATTCAACATCACCTAAATTTTCGAAAGAAAGCATTTTACTATAGGAGACATTGATTCTCTATAGGTCAAGTCTCGATTTCAGTTATGAAAATCTACAGATTGCATGTATTACTTACCATGGCAGCCATTGACCCTTCTGGTTTATAAGGGAAACTTAAGCAATGGATCTCCTTAAATCTTTTCGAAACATTTATCTGAAGTCTGCTTAAGCATGTTGATGGTTTTTCTGAAGAACACATCATGCGTTTGCTCAATAATTGTTGGAACTGCTGCCTGACACATGAATAGAAATTAAAACACTCATGAGCATCAATTAATCGCATCGTTTAGTTTGTAATCTATAAAAAGAGTGAGCATAGGAAAGCCAAAGTGCAAACCTGTATAAAGGTTGCAGGACCTCCACAAATGTCGCAGTACTTATTAAGACGCCCAATAAACTGAAAGAGGGTTAAAAAAAGGGGACCAAAAAGTGATGATCAGTGTCCATTTATCCATATTTATATTGAATTCAAAGCTGAGAACATTTATGGTCTATTTGGTCAGGCAGAAAAAAATGTTGTCCATTATAACAAACCTTTGGGGATTTCAAGCTTCCATCTGGATCATTCACAACCAACCAGCCAAGGCGCCAACCTGGCACTAACCATCTCTTTGACAAAGACCCAAAAGTAATCACGGGCGCAACGGATCCAAAAACCCCCATGGGAACGAAAGAAATATCCCCAAAAGCAAGGTGGCCATAAACTTCATCAGCAATTACGACAACACCAAGTGTCTTTGCAGTTTCAGCAATCTGATTTTGGTGTACAAAGGCTTTTAGTAGAGCATAATATTAATAAGCATTTGTACACGAGAAAGGGAGCTCAAGATCCACAACAAGCTTCTTTAAATGTTGATATTTGTAGACATTTCCATGTGGATTCCCTGGATTTATAATTACCATTGCAACAGTTTTATGATCCACCAGAGCTTCAACAGCTTCAAGATCAACCCCCATCCCTTTTCAGGGACAAGATCAAAATACCGAATCTCAAGATGTCTAAATGCGGCACAAAGTCCATAAATTGAAAAACCCGGTCTTGGAAGCAAGCTATTCGATCCTGACCGAGCCAAAATTGACAGTGTTAATTCAGTAGCCTGTGTACAACCAGCTGTAAGATAAACATCCTCCGAAGATAACTAGTAAGGAAGATCACAGGACAAATACTCAGCAATTGCCCTGTTTGGTAAAAGCAACAGTAAGATGGTGGATGCACAAATTGGTTGCGATTGAAAGATTATTTAAAACCAATTACAGTAAATTTAGAAAGTAACTTGAAATTGTGCTCAATCTGGAGATAAAAGCAATTCAGCACAAAACTACCTTCCCCAGTAAGTTAATTTCTTGCTTTTCAAACGAAAAACCAAGAAAAAAGCCACAAAATAAATTTCAAAACACATGCAAGAGTCCCTTTATCAAGAAAATTAATCTACAAATCATACATCAAAAGTGATTTATAAACAAAGCTTGATAATTATTACTGAAATTAACAGAATATGTGGATCAATCCAAACCCATGTCAATTTTAACCATAAATAGTTAAATTCTTGCATGCATGAAATAGATTATACAAAAAAATAAAAGAAAAAAAAATTCTCACTTTCTGGCTTGAGGGAGTCCAGCAGTAGGAGAGTAACCATTAAACTTAGCAGAAAGAAGAGCATCCACAACTGCTTCTTGAGCAAAAACAGTTGTATGGAAGCACGAATGAGCAGTTGGGTCCCCAATTCCCAAAGAAATCACTTCTCGATTGTCATTACAATCAGTATTTCCCATCAATAACGGAATAACCCAATAATCCCTTTAATTGTAATATTATTCGGAGTTTCAATTTCCCTATTCTGCTTCTTCAGATCATCCATTTTTTGGGTGGCTATTCCTGTAAAGATTCAACAGATCTTCTTGAAATTGTGTGTGTGTGTATTTTATGTGTTGAGAATGGGACTAGTGTGTGCGTGTGGTGAAGAGTAATTCCCGGCCACGCGGCATAACCGGGCAATAATGGCACGTCCTTGTGATGTTCGACGTTGTCTTTTATAACATTTGGAAAGGATCAGTTTTCATGGAGAAATGAAAAATGTAAGCAAAAGAAAACGCGGCAAAATAAGCGGTATAAATGAACTGAGAGAATAAAAAAAAATTTAGCTTTCCATGGAAACTTGGTACGTTTTGAGCTCGTTGAGCAGTGATTTTGAGAATTAATTTTTTGATCGTTAGAGAAAAAAATGGATTGACCTGTGAGATAAGAAGTAAAAATAACGGTTGAAATAGTTAAATAATGACCAAAAAATTGAAGAGAAAAATCGAGTTAATATAATCAATGGTCAATGAACTTCATTATAAATTACTATTTGCTCACCCAATTATAAAAGCTTACTCTTTGCTCATTGAATTTTACTATAGGTAACCACTTCCTCATCGAAATTTAAAATGTTACTTATTACTCACCCAAATTTGTACAAAGTTACCCATCAATCATCCATATCATTTTTATGAGTGTTACTTATTGCAAAATTTAGTGATTAACTTTATTCAAATTTAGATGAGCAATGAGTAATCTTTTAAATTTCAATGAGTAAATAGTAACCTATAAAAAAGTGGAATGAGCAACATATAACTTTTTAAAGATCGGTAAGTAAATAGTAACCTATAATAAAGTTTAGTGACCATTCATTATATTATCTCGAGAAAAATAATACCAAACATGCACTTAGTCCCCAATTTTTGTAAATTATCACAAATTTATTCTTAATAATTCATCCCCAACCTTTCAATTACGCCTTCTCTCTTCATTTTGGCCATTAAATAATAAATTTGTCATTCTTTTAAATAAATAAACATAAAAGAATATAGTAAACAACATAAAATAAAGAAAAAAGATCTAAAGAAATAAATGTCTCTTCTCAACAAAAAATAAAAATAAAAAAAATAAAAAAATGTCAGGAGTTTGACCATCGGATGGCCAATCTCGCTTAGGTCGAGTTTCTACACAAGTTTTTGAGTAAAAAATATTATTAATTTGGAGTTGAAAAGTCTTATCTTTCATGTTCAGACTGAATTTTTTATATAAAAATCAACCTCATGGTTTGACATCATCCTTCCTCGATGAACTTGTCTACTGTCTAATAGTTGAAGTGTGGCTTATTCTCAACAATAACGTAATTTGTACTTAACAAAATCTGAAAACCAGAATTGCTGAAGCAAGAGAATACGTGATGGTAAATTTTCTCTCTTAAACTGATCAATCTTTACAGGTGTATATATAGGATGTAGCTCTAACTAACTAACAAAATTAAAGCTACAGGGGAAACAGAAAGAATAAAATGCTAACAAAATCTGCCATGTCAGCAGCTATACAACAGAAAGGAATCTAAATTATATTCAATACGCCTCCTCAAGATGGAAGGTGAAGATTATGAACTCCCATCTTGCTTAACAGTGCTCTGAACCTCATTCCTCCAATAGATTTAGTTAACATATCTGCAAGTTGATCCTTAGTACTTAGATGCATAGTTCTGATCTTACCCTCTTGTATTTTCTCTCTGACCACGTGACAATCCAGTTCGATATGTTTTGTTCTTTCATGATAAACTTGATTTGCTGCAATATGTATGGCTGCTTGATTATCACAAAATAATAATGCTGGATCCTTATGTTTAATTCCCAAATCAGCAAGTATGTATTGCAACCATGTTAATTCACATACTACTGAAGCCATAGCTCTGTATTCAGCTTCTGCAGAGGACCTGGACACAGTGCTTTGCTTCTTTGATCGCCATGAAATTAATGAATTTCCCAAAAATATACAATACCCCGTGATGGATCTTCGGGTATCTGAGCATGCAGCCCAGTCTGCATCACAGAACCCTTTAAGTTGCACCTCTGAATCCTTTTCAAAGACCAAACCTTGTCCTGCAGTCCCCTTAAGATATCTTAGTACATGCAAGGCTGCATTAAGATGTGGTTGTCTAGGTGAGTCAACAAACTGACTGAGGATCTGAACCGGATAAGTGAGATCTGGTCTGGTGATGGTAAGGTAGAGTAATCTGCCTACAAGTCTTCTGTAGGTGCTGGGATCAGTGATCAGGTCACCATCTGATTTGGAAAGTTTCAAATTTTGCTGTAAAGGTGTTTTGGCGGGTTTAGCACCCAAATATCCCGCATCTTCCAAGACTTCCAAAGCATATTTCCTTTGGCAAATGGAGATCCAAGTGTTATTTCTAGCCACTTCAAGACCTAGGAAATACTTCAAAGTTCCAAGGTCCTTTAGCTTAAATTGTTGATCCAAAACCTTCTTAAACTGATCAATGTACATCAAATCATTTCCAGCAATGATGATGTCATCAACATAGACAAGTCATGAAGAAAAGCATTATTCACATCAAGTTGGAACAGATACCATTACTGTGTTGAAGCTACTGCTTTGACTATGACCAACTTAGCCACGGGAGAGAAAGTATCTTGATAGTCCAACCCGGCTTGTTGTGTAAAGCCTTTGGCAACAAGTCGTGCTTTCTTTCTTTCTTCACTACCATCTGCCTTGTATTTAATTTTATAGACCCATTTACAATCAACAAGGGTCTTGTGTGGAGGCAAAGTTGTTAGAGTCCAAGTATTGTTAGCAACCAAAGCTTGGAGCTCGACATCCATTGCTGTACACCAATCTGGACACTTGGAGGCTTGATGATAGGATGTAGGCTCATAAGATGATGATATGGACAATACATAAGCCTTGTGAGCAGATGACAAATGGTCATAACCAACATATGCTGAAATGTCATATTGCTTACCTGTTTCAGGTGTGACAATCATCTTGGAATCAGATTGGATTTGGGAATCATTGCATTTGGCCAAATTGCAGTGATATTGTTCAAGGTATGAAGGTGGTCTATGAACCCTTGTTGATCTTCTAACTTGAAGTGGAGGCAGGTTGGTGGAGTGATGAAGAGAAGTGGAATGTGATGGTAATGTAGAAAACATTTGAGATAATGTCGGTGAGTGTGCAGGTGAAGAATTTAAAGTGAGAGCTGGAGAAGGGGAAGAGTCTGATCTTGCAGGTGCTGGAGAATAATGAGATGAAGTGTTGTTATCTAGAAAGAGAGGCGAGTGAATTTTGGTGGTGGTAATTTGAGATGGTATGCCTTGAAAAGGAAAGACAGATTCATGAAAGACCACATTTCTTGAGATGATGTATTTTTGAGTGGTTAGGTTGAAGAGTTTATAACCTTTCATTCCATTGGGGTAGCCAAGAAAGACACATGCATCAGCTCTAGGGTCAAATTTTGACCTGTTTCTTCTAAGCGTAGATGCATAGCATAAGCATCCAAACACTCTTAAGTGTGAATATGATGGTTTTGTGTTCAGGAGAAGCTCATAAGGTGTCTTTTCAGAGAGTTTGGATGAAGGAATTCTGTTTATAAGGTATGTGGCTGTGAGAATGGAGTCACCCCAAAACTGGTTTGGAAGATTGGCTTGAAACATCAAAGATCTGGCTACATTAAGAAGATGTTGGTGTTTTCGTTCAACCACCCCATTTTGCTGTGGGGTTTCAACACAACTGAGTTGGTGAATGATGCCTTTGGATTGGTAAAAGTCTGCCATATGGAATTCTGGTCCATTATCTGATCTAATCTTTCTTATTTTGGTGTTGAATTGTGTGAGGATCAGATTATAGAAGGATGCGATGATGTTCCTGGTTTGAGATTTGTTGTTAATGAGGAATGTCCATGTAGTCCTACTATAATCATCTACAATAGTAACAAAGTACTTGGAACCATCAATAGAAGGATAGTGAAAAGGTCCCCATATGTCAACATGAATTAGTTCAAAGATACTGCTGGATACATGTGTGCTAATAGGAAAAGATAATACATGCTGTTTAGCAAGTGGGCAGACAGTACAACGAAAGTTCGATTCACTAAGTACTTCTGGTACAGTTTTGTTGATAATAGAGATTCTAGAGCTAGGAACATGACCTAATCTACTATGCCAAAGGTCAAAGGAATGACTGTAAGCAGTATTGGCAGTAGGTTCAGATGTATTGGACAGTAAAGTGTGATGTTGTTGTTGAGATGGTTGAAGCTGTAAGTGGTAGAGGCCACCATCAATTTTCCCTATCCCAATCGTCTTCCAAGATAAAATGTCCTGAATAAAACAATAAGCAAATATGAAGATCAAACAACAATGGTGAACTGAGACCAACTTACTGGCAGATATGAGATTAAAAGTAAAACATGGAACACAGAGAACATTTGTCAAAGTAAGGTCACTTGAAAGCTGAACTGTCCCTATATGTGTAACCGCTACAACATGACCATTAGGCAACTTGACATTTCCATTAATGGTAGCTGTGATGGTGGTAAGTTGTTGGACAGAACAAACAATGTGGTCTGTCGCACCAGTATCGATTATCCAAGTGCTCTTGGTGTATGTGTAAGCAGAACATGCTAGGCTACTACCTGAGAAGGATGATGCTGAAGGCATTGTTGGAGATTGAGTTGATGTAACTTGCAGGTCCCCAACATGGTTTACAGAACTAGTGGTAAATGGAGTGGTGGTAGTGGTGACAGGTGAAGGCATGAAAGCTTCAAGTTGAGGCCTCAGCATTGAGATGATCTGTTGACATTGATCTGGAGTGATATTAATGTTGCTGAGGCTGCTTAGAGTTTCAGAACTGTTTGATGCAACAACTTGGTGAGCTGATGCATTTTCAGGTAACCTCTTAGCTAGACGATGTCCTGGAGGATATCCATTGAGTTTGTAGCACTTATCCCTTTTTTGACCAGTGAGGCCACAGTAACTACAGATAGGCCTGTCCTTCCTTTGTCCAGAATTGCTGCTACTTGTGTTTTTAATGAGATGTTGCTGATTACCAAAACAGTGGCTAGCAAAAGCAGCAGACTCCACCTTTTGGTGTAGAGATGTCACCTGCCTTTGCTTTTCTTCTTGAGAAACTAGAGCAAAGACACGACTCAGAGAGGGAATTGGGTCCATGAGAAGGATTTGGCTTCTAACAGCAGTGTAGGAATCGTCTAATCCCATCAGAAATTGCATCACCTGATCATCAGAGTGATGGGGATTATGGTGTTGTGGTCTGTAATGAGCCAATTCTTCCCAGAGTCCCTTCAATCTGTTGAAGTAGGAGCCAAGGGATCCATTGTTCTGTGAAATTGAAGAAATCAATTTCTGCAGCTGGTAAATGCGAGGGCCATTGCTTTGATTGTATCTATCATACAGTTCAAGCCAGATGTCTCGTGCTGAATCTTTATGCATGACACTGGGATAGAGTTCCTTGGGGATTGAGTTGATTATCCATGCAGACACCATGTGATTACACCTTCTCCATGGGACATATAATGGATCACTGGGATCTGGCTTAGAGATTGAGCCATCAATGAAACCTTCTTTATTTTTGACACTTAAGGCCATAGTTACTGCTCTACTCCAGGTGGAGTAGTTTTCATCAGAGAGGACGACAGAGATGAGTTGGGCACCGGTGTTCTCGCCATAGTGGAAATAGTATGGGCTGTTAGGATCATCAACGACTCGGAAATTCATCTGCCCATGAATGGCAGGACCACCAGCAGGATTCTCTGAGCTGGAGATGGGATGTTGAACATCTCCCGGAATTGCAGAACCTGCGTGAATCTCCGAGGCGGCTTGATGATTGGTAGCCATGATTGGAAGAGAGAGCTAGATATGCTCTGATGCCATAACAAAATCTGAAAACCAGAATTGCTGAAGCAAGAGAATACGTGATGGTAAATTTTCTCTCTTAAACTGATCAATCTTTACAGGTGTATATATAGGATGTAGCTCTAACTAACTAACAAAATTAAAGCTACAGGGGAAACAGAAAGAATAAAATGCTAACAAAATCTGCCATGTCAGCAGCTATACAACAGAAAGGAATCTAAATTATATTCAATAGTACTCTTAACTTGTAGATTGTCGAATGATTTATTGTGTAAATTTTCAGTGCATTCAGGTAAGAGTGAGACTATTGTTATTTCTGCATTTTGCGTGTTCGTCTTGATATGTCAGCAAGTGATTGAGCGTCATTGCGATCTGAGCATATGGATTTTTGAGTTCTCGAGTATTTGCATTTGTTTTATTGCCATAATTTAATTCTAATTCATTCCTTTAATTTTTTTAATAGTTTTTATTTGGAATAAAAGAAGCCTTTTACCTTTTAAAAATTCCGTTTTCCAGCAAATTCCGAATCGAGGGATTCAAGAAGGACATGGTATTCAAGGCGAACCCGTTAGCCCTAAGCGTACCTGAACAGGCCTTCGAGTCCTGGCTCCGAGACTCCGGCTACCTCGAAATCCTCGACCAGCGCACCTCCGACCTCCACCGCCTCTCTGCCGCCGACTGTACTATCGAGCTCCGTAATTCCTCCGCCGACTCCACCCCCACTTCCATTATATGTAGCGGCTTCTTCGTATCACTCTTCTCCCGTATTTGTACCCTTCTCTCGCTCATCACTTTCAACCCCTTCTCCAAGCTCGTCGCAGAGGATTTCTCCGGTGACACGCCTTCTTGGACCCTCGCGTTCTTCGGCTCCTCTGATTCTTACTCTTTCCCTTCGTCTCCTTCCCAGGCTCGCCTCCGTGTCCATGAGAATGTCAAACGGTTTGCTCGCAATTACGCCTTGCTCTTCGTCGTCTTCTTCGCTTGCTCTCTGTATCTACTCTCTCTCTCTCTCTCTCTCTCTCTCTCTCTGTATGTGTGATTGTGTGGGTATTTGTAGGGGGGAATGTTTTACTGATTTATGATTGTTTTGCGGTTTTGAGCTGAACTTTGAAATTTGGGTGATGAAATTGTTACTTTGCTCTTTCTTTGTTCTTGAGCTAAAATATGCATTTATCTTCCCACTCTCTATCATTACGTGTATTTTGACAATGGTATTGATTTTAAAGCTGGCAATTTTTATTGTTTTGCTTCTTTTTTTTTTGGCAAAGATTTAATTTTTACTGATTTTTAGTCAATTAATTTTGCATGAAGATTTATGGTTAAAAGGTTCACTACGAAGAATATGAACGTTCTCAGAATTATTTGTAATTTTCTTGTTATTAATTAATTGTTGATAAGTAAAGGTTAATGGTATATTAAGGTTGAATAATAAAATTCACTAGTAATATGAGAAAATATAAAGTTCACATGTCTTTTTAAGTGTCTTGTGGATCTTTCTTATTTATTTATTTTTAATCATGTTATAGTTGCCATTTAAATCTGGTAGGTATCAATTGCCGCTAGCTCTCGTTGGGTTGATATCATGTTTATCACTCTGGGATGTATTTAAGTTTTGTGCTGATCGGTGGGAATTATATAAGCACCCTTCTCTCAGACAGACCTTGCTTCACATTGCCCAATGTGGTGAGTTGAGTTTATATTTCTTTGAATTGAGTATGCTGTTTTCTTGTTTGCTGCATTTTTTGGATGGAAGTAAAATGGAGGTGTTTGAAATCTGTTCTTGGACACAATGAATAAAATTTGCGTTCTGTTGGGTGTAAGTTAACTAAGTTTCTTGTATATTGTTGTTCTGGCTTCTGGGATGGATGCATGGTTAAACCATTTAGTCTTTAGGTCTTTGGGACGAAGGTGAATGAACTTAAAATTGTACTTAATAACCTAATTTTCAAAGTATTCCCTTTGGGACAATGGCTAGAGCTTTGATGTTCCATTGTTGCCAGTTTTACACTAAAGTTGTATGCATACATGAATAGCAGAGTCTATTCAGACTACGACTTTAGTACTACTGAGGACCATGTACTGATAAATAATATCAGCAAGCTGCAAATTTATTGATTTTTAGCATATCTTTAGTTTTTATGTACATTCATTCAGGAAAAAATGATATATAACTTGTTACTGAAGACATCTAGTATAACTCTTCTTTTAGCAACATAAATTAGGTTTATTTTAGTGAAGGATGGTACATCATTGACAATTTTATAGTCTTTATATGAATATAAATATAAAATACACATCATTGAACTTCTGTTGCCGAACTTAAGTTTCTTCATTTAAATGCAAATTTGACTTTCATTTTACTCGAGCAAGAAACTGCTCCTCAGAACAAAGAAAAAAATATGCTGGAATTTTCTCTGCTAGAAAAATGGCCACTCTTACTGTTCAATCATATTGAACTACCACCTGTTTTTCTTCTCCCTCTTTTCCCTTTTTTTAAGGGATGAGGAGGGGTAGAGTGGTGGTGGTTTTATCAGGTAGCCTTGCTAGAGAGCAGATTACTCTTTTATAGATCAAAATCTGATTATTGAACTACCATCGGTTCCTCTTCTTCTTCTTCATTTTTCATTTTTTTTATTTTTATTTTGGGTGGGGGAGTTTATAGTGTCGTTGGTTAGTTGTGCAATTAAAAACTTATCCGGAGCTCATTTCTATTCTTTGGTTTATATATCAAATTGTCAAGTGTGAAGTATACAAATATCATCTGTGCTTGAGAAGATTGGACCACATATGGATATTACAAGTTTCTGCATGAATCTGGGATATGTAAGTTGACCATTGAGTTATAAAATGACACAAAAGCTTGTTTCCAGATTCCACGTATAATGTCCATATTACCCGAATTCGAACACTTATATGATATGATACAAGTGAAAAATGATTGATTGGTACATGTTCCCCAAAATATGGGATTATATATCTCTATCATAGAATTATTACACCTCCTATCTTCAGGCTTAAGGGTGAAACACACATGATTACATATCTGCCCGCCTACAGGGCATAGTTCGAAGGCGGCGCTGAATTGGGATGTGACCGGTTAATGGTTTTAAAGGATACTCAATATAATGCTCTGCCAGATTATTGAGTGTAATAACAGTGATTCGCCACAAATAACTTGCATCTTCACTCCCAATGTTATAATTGGGAGCTGGATATTGAAAATCTCTTCCTTGGAATTGAATTTTGTACTGAACAGTTGTAACTCATTTGATGGAGGGTTGAGTAGGTTAATGCCAGCAATACACTCAAAACTGTGTGAAGCTTTTGGTATCGTATGTGAAGTGGAAATTTGTTTGCCTACCATGTATCAGGAAAGTTACAGGGATTAAATGCAATGGTTGTGGCTTTTGATAGAAATTTTAGCAGATTTTGAATCAAGTTGTGATGTGTGGTTAAAATTAATTGTTGATTTTGACTTAACTTTTTAGCAACTTTTTAAGATATCCCAGACAATTACTTGATGTAATTCCAAAAGCTTTCGACAACTTGGGAAGTTTATGGGATTTGAGGCTCCTTCAGTTTTGCACTACAGGTTGGAAAGGAGTACATGCATGACTGAGATTTTTATTATAAATTGACCTTTTTGGTCATCATGACTGATATCTGTGAACTTGTTTTGCCAATTAAAACTCATCTAGTTTTCCTAAGCATGTTGCTCTTATTGGTGAAATATCTTCTGCTTCACATGGGTTTTTACAAATTTGATGTCAATTTCAACATTTCGGTGAATTTTATTTTCAATTCCCTGTTTTGTCTTCAGAAAAATGTAAAAAGAATTGACTGCCCTGCACTTCCAAAGAGAATTTGTTTGATAATTGATTTCCACTTTTGTATCTTTGATTCTCTCGTGCTAATTGAAGAAACCCTTAACAGCAACTTTGCTTTATGCTATATATAACTTCACATCAACACATAAATTTTGCACATAGTATTATCCTGTCTATGGACTGCTAATCAAGGCTCCTCATCCTCGCAGCAACTGCAATTATTCTGTTCTTTTTCAATGTTCAGTTGGCCCTCGTATGTGCTATTGGTGTAAGTTACGCAGGTGACTTTGCATTCATTACCTTCTTTTGGCATTCTTTGTTCTAGCACCTTTATTATTTCACTGGCTTTGAATGTTACTGGCCTGATATTTCTTCTGTTCGTGAATATTTTGCAGTATTGATATTACATGCCTCGTTTAGGAAGTTGACCCCTGCAAGGCAACCTTCGAAAGATGGAAATAGAAGGATCGACCAAAGATGAAGATCTTGCAAATCAGTTGAAGGCTGAAGTAATTCTTTACATCATGCTGCTAAGGTGCGGAGGGGGACTTTTCCAGGTTATTGGGTAAGAAGCAAGGAAGGAAGACTCTACATCTAGTCATTCCACTCCATGGATGGTGCACACAGATTCTTCTTTCAAACCACCATCACTATATCTAATCTTGTTGCCCGACCCTTTCAAGTGACCAGCTGTAAAGGTTGATCTCTAGATTAAATTTTGTTTTGTGAACTATACAGCAAATCTTCGGCTTTTATTATGAGGAATAATTTTATCACATTAATTATAAAATATTGTCAATAGTCAGAGGTCTCAATCAGACCATACTAACTTGAGTCTGATTGTTTTATTCTATGTTCCTCTTTAATTTTTTTCAGTGAAAAGGTTAAAACTCATAATTAAGAGTGTTCCAAGATAAGATCAAAAATTTCTCTCGCCATTTCCGTTCAAAGTTGTTAACATTTCCAAATTTTACTGAGAATACGGCTGGATTTTTATTTTTTATTTTTAAATTTCCAAACAGCTTCAGAAGAGTCTTGATTTTTGACGAGGATGGATGGTTCAAGTTGGCTGTTCGGGAAAATTTAGCCGCAAATAAAGAGAACTAAAATAAAGAAGGTAATAACTGATAAGCAACTTTATGCATTATAAAATCATGAACCTTGATATATGTACATTATGGTGTACCATTTAGTTTACATTTAGTCATGTATCATTATCCCATTAGACAGTTTAATTTTTAAATAGTTTTTTCATCCAATTGACATTTGACAACAATGTAAGTGTCAATTAAAGTGTCAATATTAATGTACAAATAGCAAAGTTCAAAAATCAATCATGCTAATGGCACATAATTTCTTGTACCTAAGGGTGTCGACCCTCTCACATGAGGTGGGGCTCCGCTAAAATAAAATATTTGAGTGGGGTCCATCCATATAAAAGGGTGGACACTCTAAAGTACAAAAAATTATGTACTCAACCTTGACAAATACAAGTAACAGGTATTACATGGACACGGTAGAATAGACAGCTGATTGTACACAAATTTTTTGCAAACCACTAACGAAAAATAAATGAACAGGGGATGTAAATTAGTCTTCTCTCAATCTTATTTAAATTGTCTCAAAGTTGAGAGCAAGAACATGTTAATTTTACATGAAAAGCAATTATCTGACCTCGTTCTTCAGGTATATAAATCTCAACCTTGCCATCTGCTTTAGACGATGATTACATATCAATATAGTACGAGGAGGTAATTCAAGTCACAATGAGTGACCTACAAGTGGTTGGCGTCAACAATTAGAAATACACCACATGGTGAACTTGTACGGAATTGTATCTCCGAAGGCAATACCTGTGGGTAGTTGTTGGCGGAAGTCACGTGACATCACCTGAGAAAGCCGAAACTCTGAAGAAGTGGAGAATCAAAGTGGATAAAGCTTTGTTAGTGATAAAGACGACGATAGAGGAAGAATTATTGGAACACATAAGGGAAAAGAACACACCAAATGAAGCATGAGACACCTTGGCCTTACTATTTTTGAAGAAAAATGATTTGAGGGTGCAGCTTCTGGAGAATGAGCTTCTCTCAATTACTCAAAGTGAATTGACGATAAGTCAATATTTCAATAAATTTAAATCCCTTTGTCATGAAATTTCAGAATTAGCGTCGAGTAAGATTTCAAAGTCTAGAATGAGAAGAATAATCATACATGGTCTAAGACCCCAATTTAGAAATTTTATTGCTGCAATACAATGTTGGCCAGAGCAACCTTCATTGATCAATCTTGAGAATTTGCTAGCTGACTAAAAAGCGTTGATTAGACAAATGTTAGAGGTTTCAATAAAGAAAGAAGAGGAAGAAGCACTATATAATTATAAAAGAAGAGGTCAACCCCATCAATAAAATAATAAAAAATTAAAAAGAATATAAACATGAAAAAAGTTCTGTGACAAAGGGAGCCCAACAAAGTCGCAATAAAAGAGGTCAGCCGTCCAAGAGATTTCAACAAAATAATGACTCGTGTTTTGTATGTGGAAAACAAGCTCATTATGCTAGAGACCGTTGGCTTAAAAAGGGGTCAGCAGAAGGTAATGTAGCAACCTCCAACGAGGAAGATAAATATACTAGTGAAGAAGAATGGAATGTTGAGGCAACCACAACAACAATTGAACAGGTTCAAGAAAAGAAATTTAATTCAAGTTTAAAGGATGAATTAGTTTTAGTGGGGGTCTTGCCTGAACAAATGGATTGCGATGATGATTAGATTGATGACTTGGGAGAAGATGATTGGATTAATGACTCAAGAGAGGAATCGTGGTTATTGAAGAGTCTTTGTGGCGGACTCAACAGAGGAAGGAACTATCAGACTTGGAAGAAGTGTTTGAAAAAGCATATTCTTGGCAGACACCTCGGAGGATGCAACTATTAAATTCAAAGGAAATAGATGACAAGTCGAAGGAGGAGGTGTCAGAACAAATCAGTGAAGTAAGATAAGAGCTCGAGAAAATACAAGATGTGATGGAAATAATCAATGAATGAGAGCATGTAAAGATGAGTATGCATCAGACAACAATATCATAGGAAATAAGGCCAAGTCAACAAGAAAAGATTGAGGTATGTACAAACTTACAATTACAAATAAAGAAGTCAAATAGACATGAGAAATTAAGTATCAATTATCCTAATCTGAAAATAAATAAAAATGAAAGCATTGTAGCAGCGGATGCATTAAGTAAAGGACCGATAGCTTCAAAACTCGTCAAGTTTGAGTAGAGTTTTAAGTGACTAAAATAAAAAGGGTAAAAATGAAAAGTCAATACTGAAGGGGAGAATTGAAGATGCCACCACCTACTTCTAGAATTTTCTGGGTTTGTATACATGCTGAAAATTTGGAGGACTTCATGTATTTGCCAACATACTGGAGTATTCTAGAGACCGTTGCCGCCAAAATTCGAAGCTTCGCCATTTGAGATTAAACTAGAGTTAAGTCCCAATTCCACCAACATAAAGTGTATATGCATACATATTCATGTATGTGTATGTGTTGGCTGTGTATATGTTCGTGTGAGAAGCAAGAAGTAAAAGAAGAGAGTGCTGAGTACAGTGACATATAGGAGAGAAGAATATATATGTGTGGTCAGGAGAGAGAAAGTGTTAGTGAAGAAATATATGTGTGTGTGTGTTGGGGAATACACCGATTCAAATGTGCATATTATATTCACAAAACGTAACTTACACGTTCATGAAGTCGAAACAAGGTCTCGACTTACCCAAATGTAGTTTGAGAAACTAACCAATAATTATTGAATCTGACTATTTCCATTCTTGAATTAAAATATGCGATTCTTCTTATCGAACCTTGCATAAATCATATAAATAAAATTAATCATTTTCTTAAATCAAGTATGAAAAAATGAAATCAGAAATAAGAAAAAATTAGATGCAAGTGATGCTATTGGTCGAGACGAGTATAACTCTTTCCTTAAAATAAATTTGCCCTACATCGGTGCTAACGGTTTTTCGACAATCATCTCCCAAAATACAACGACCACGTCAAACCATAGGAGCACTCCAAATTTTTTTGACCAACGAACTCGAACGGAACTCTCTCTTTACCATAACAATGATTTTGATATAAAAGATAATCACTTCTACAAAGTGTTTTATGTAACTAATATAAAATGAATAATATGGAATTATGGAATGAATTGGAATGACAAACACACATCCAAGGGGTCCTATATATAGAAGATGAAGGGTTGTGGGTGAAGGGATACATCCCAAATCCAGCATTTTTTATGGAAAGTTGCAACACTTTATTTCGAAAAGTTGCAACACTTCATTTCAAACCTGCATCATTTCGAAAAGTTACAACACTTCATTATTACAACTTTGGACCGCAATTTCTCATTCATCCGGAATTGATTTCGAGGTTCCAAATATACCACGACGATCTACTCGACAAGTAGAATAAGTTGGTCTATTTACTTTTGTAATTTGACCATCGAATCAAATCCGAACATTCGATCGAAGTTGACACGAAGTCACACCTTTTCATTTTCCCAATTTTAAACTTAACCAATTTTCGGATATATATAAAGAAGGTTGAACCCTAACTTTGAGAGCTCCGACTGCGCCGACCCTAGAGCATCATGAAAGAGGTAAATCGCGAGATGTACCCCAGCAGGCTAGAAAACAAGAGCTTGCGTGTACACTAGTGCTCACAAAGAGTCAAATTTCATATTTTAAGAATCAAACCCTCACACTGCGACTGCCAACAAAATTAAGATTACATCACTCCTATTCTTTGCACCTTGGGTTATGCCCCAAGGGGCTGTTAGTGGAGAAATATAGATACAGATAGTGTATGCGCGAGTGTTATAGAAAAATAGGGAGTGTGAATATTGTTTTCAATAGCGTCCAAGCGTCGTATTATATAAAATTTTCTCTCAATAAAATAATATTTTTAGGTTTAAACTCAACAATTATCATCACGGCTTTAACTTGGAATTGTTCTCCATTAGAAAAAGAATAAAATGGTATAAAGTCCTGCGAATTTTAGCACTGTGTATTTAAAATAAAATAAAATAAATGAAAAGGAGAAAAAACCAAGCTTGGGCTGAATTTAAGATTTACAGTAGTTATTTTATATATACGCATGTACTCCTTTTCTCCACACTTCAGTTTTTGCAGAGAGAACAGGATCGAGAAGAAGGAAGGTGATAAATACAATGAACTATATATACACTCGAAAAAAAAAAAACCCGGGCACAGGAATT